CATTTGTGGTGACACTATGCACAATAAAAAACGACATGATCTAAACTTAAAATCCAGAAGATGAGAGAGAGAGGGAAAAAAGGGGGCTGCAACCTAAAAATAAAGGGCATTTATAAGAGAACCGATGTGTAATCAAGAAAATTTGACAAAGCAAGTAATATCTCCTACAGGTTACTAATTTAACATAATCATATAAAATTTAACGAATATTTAATATAGTAAGGACTTACTATTTATATGGCCAAAAATACATACGTAGATACACACATACACAACAACATATCTATATTTACTCGGACATACATACATATACGTGTGCACATATACATATATGTGTGTGTGTGTGTGTCCATTCACATACACTCGTGCATACATACACACATACACACATAGACATACACATATGTGCACATAAACATACATAAAACCTTGCACACATCCATACATATACATACACACACTCATCTAAACAAATAAACAACGTCTCTATCTATCTATCGACACATATATACATATATATATATATATATATATATATATATATATGTATATACACATGTAAATACACAAGCACACACACACACACACATATATATATATATATATATATATATATATATATATATATATATATATATATATATAAATCAAAAGGTAAAAACACACCTCCATCCATACATACATTTAACATAAAAATAGATGGAATGAATTAAACTTATTTGTACTTTAAAAACTACTAAGGAAGAAAGCGTTAACAATATTAAAAACCCACAGAGTGATTAAAGCGTATAAATCTCTTAAGTCTACATATATACCTAGGTATTTAAAAATACCAGAAAACTATCAGATTTTGTATATCAGTTATTTACATACACATATACCGACACATGAATAAACTTTGCTAACACAAATTAAATGATCAAAAAAGTATATAGAGCACCATATAAACACAGACAATGATATATATAGATAATCAAAAGGGTAATTCGATTTAAATGTCATGTCCGATGTTAGTGATCCAAGATGGAACTGTTATAGGTAACAACACGTTATAAAACTGTGTTTATGTTTTAAAGCGTTTTTTATGTCTACATTTGGAAATGATCTCACTACGAAGATTCAGCAACTCATCTTGATTTTTAGCATTAATAATAATTCTTTTTTTTTTTTCGTAATGCACACCGAACGCGGAACTTATAAGGGGCTCTCGCTCTTGATAAGAATATCCACTCGAAATGCGGGGTTAGTCCCTTATCCACCAGATCCCAGTAGTGTTTGGATAATGAAGTTTGATTTTTAAGGTATCGATATTTAAAAGAGCGTCTGTGGTTGTATAGACTCTGCTTCCATTTACCAGCGGATATACCTATGTATCTTTTTTCTGGTTGATATTTCCTCCGGTGAAGATTGTTGCTTTATATATTACATTCTTATACATACATTTTCCCCCACCCCGATTGGACAATTAGCTCTACTCCTACAACTGCAAGTGGGGCTCTTAGATCGAGTTTCACTACTATGGTAGTTCTTAAGTATTTTACAATTATGGGAAGATATAATTTTCTCCATATTACTTACACATGAATAACTAATTTTCAGTGTTTCCTATTGAAAATTGTATACAGTGGATGTTTACTATGAAAGTGTTTGTCTATTAACCTTAGGAAGAGACTTCCCTATATTAATTATATTCTTACTCTGTCCTGGACATTGAGTTCTATCCTCTTCGAAATATATATATATATATATATATATATATATATATATATATATATATATATATATATATATATATAAAAGAAATATGTTGTAGTGGTTCCAACGAGAGAAAAGTATGTATATTAAAAAGAAGAGGGTTGGTGCCGCAAACGTTTTTTGGTTGTAATGTGGATTTATTGAGAAAAAATATTATACTTTGTTTTACATAATTTCACGACACGTGTTTCTGGTCTGGTCTCACAAACCGTCTTCAGGTGAAAGTGGAGATTTTTACATATTATTAAAAAATAATTAATTTTTCTTCATGTTCAATGTGGAATATTCTCGATATGAGACATTCTGTTTGTGTGTTGGCAATCCGAATTTTCTTTATATTTTCTTTATATTTTTATATATATATATATATATATATATATATATATATATATTGACTAATATTATCTATCTATCTATCTATCTATCAATATATATATATATATATATATATATATATATATATATATATTTGGCAGCCACCTTTTAAACATTTAAAAGCCAGAATTTTCCATTGACTCAGTTTTTAATCGTTTTCCGAAAAAGAATTCCATTGCTTTCAGAACTCTCCAAGTTCAGAAAGGAATATTTTCACAATTACATAAAACATTGAATCCGATATACGTATATATGTTAATGTTACGTACACAGTATTTCTATCAGTATTTTATTTTTCGACCGAAATATGAATCTTTATTGATTAAATGAATGAAAGCTAGCAAAAGAAAATCATGTAAACATAGTAATT